GCTGACGGCCTCCCCACGCCGTGCCCAGCCTTCCCGAGCCGGCCGGCGGGTGGTGGGCACGCCTGCCTCACCTTCATCAGGGCTGGCCAGGAGGGGCCCAGACTGTGAATCCTGTGCTCTGCCCGTGACCACGCCCCGTCCCCATCAGTCCCATTGCATAGGTTTAGAGAGAGCACGTGTGACCACTGGCATTCATTTGGGGGGTGGGAGATTTTGGCCAGGGAAGCTGCCCCAGCCTTAGTCCCCAGGGCAAAGCGCTGGGGGTCAGACGGGGTGTCAGGGAGGGGGGAATCTCAGCAGAGGGAGGAGTCTGGGAGCGGGGAGGGACGGCCCAGCCTGTAAAATACTGTACATGCGCTGCTGTAGATACCGGAATGAATTTTCTGTACATGTTTGGTTAATTTTTTTTGTACATGATTTTTGTATGTTTCCTTTTCAATAAAATCAGATCGGAACAGTGGATGCTTTTCCTGCTCACCTTCGCGGTTCTGTGCCCTAGGTCAGAGGCTCTGGGACCTCAGCTGGGCCACAGAAGGCAGCGGGGCGTGGCTGGGGTTGGCGCCTGGCCCCGGCTCGTACCCCTGGCGGCTGCTGAACGGCCTGGCCGGTAGCTCACTCCGAAGCTCAGTGACCCCGGCTCTCAAACGGGAGCTTTCTGGTGGCTTCCTGAACAGTGGCTGCGCGCCGTCCGTGGGCTGCGCCCGTGCTGGACTGGCCCCCCCGCGGAGCTCGCCCGTCCTTCAGAGAGCGGATGTCCGGAGGAGGATGCGTCCCTCTGCAGTTTCCCTTACATGCCTTATTATTATTATTATTAATTTTGCAGTGCGGCAAGCACAAGGTACATCCTGAGCTCTATAAATTTGCCTTTTGTTTTTAAATTGTATCTCTGAACTTTTTTTCATACTGCTTTAAAATTACAAAAGTAAGGCTGGGCGTGGTGGCGCACGCCTGTAATCCCAGCACTTGGGAGGCTGAGGCAGGAGGATCACTGTGAGTTCGAGACCAACCTGGGCTACACAGTGAGTTCTAGGTCAGTCTCAACTACATAGTGAGACCCTGTCTCAAAACACCAAAAAACAAAACAAAATAAAAATTACAAAAATATATCCTTAGCTATTTATAAAGTTAGTAGTGTACTACTTTTCAGGGGCTGGGGACTTAGCTCAGTGGTTCTGCTGCCTGCCTCCCAAGCCCAAGGTTCCAAGTTCAATCCCCAGTACCAAAAAAATAAATAAAATTTTAAAATAAAATAATAATGTACTACTTTTTAAGTATAATGTAGGTATATTTACATTATATAGATCCATTTACTCTGCTCCTTAGCCCTTTCCACATGTATTACATCAGAAACATTATTGCCACAATACAATGTAACAAGTTTTGCTCTAAAAAGTCATATGGGGTGTGAAACCTGAGGCAGGAGGATCAATGAGTTTAAGGCCAGCACGGACTACATAGTGAGCCTTTGTTGCAAAAAAAAACTAAAAATAGGCCCCGCTCCTGGCATGCCTGTAATCCCAGCACTAAGGAGACTGAGGCAGGAGGATCGCTTAGTCCAAGGTCAGCCTGGGCCACATAGTGAGTTCAAGGCTGGCCTGAAGTAGCAGCAAAACCTTGTCTCAGAAAACCAGCCAACCAGCCAATCGATCAACAAAGAAACTAGGAGGAACAAATGACCACTTTTTTTTTCTGTATTGGGGATCGAACTCAGGTCTTTGTGCCTGCAAAGCAGGCAGTAGAACCACTGAGCTAAATCCCCGGCCCGTGACCTCTTTTTTAAAATAAAATTTCTCCATTTACTGTTTCACTTTTCACTCTATCCTGAAGTTCCAAGATTCTCCCAGTATTATTTCTCTTAATTATGAAGTTTCCATTGGGATTTTCATCCCGTTGTTATTTTTTTGAGACAGGATTGTAGTAAATTGCCAGGGCAGGCCTTGAACTTTTGATCCTCCTGCCTCAGCCTCCTTCAGTGCTGGATTTCAGTGTATGCCACCGTGCCCATTGGGGATTGAACTGAGGACCTTGAGCTTGTGAGGCAGGCGGCAGAACCACTGAGCTCAATCTTCTCGGGCCCTCTTGGAATATATTTTTTCTGGCAACAAATTCTCTTTCTATTTCAGTTTCTTGAAGGATATTTTCACTGGTTTCAGGGTTTTTTGGTGCTGGGGCTTGAACCCAGGCAAGTGCACTGCAGCTGAGCTCCATCTCCAGCCCTTGACGATCATCTTTACGCATGGAAAGATCATTTTACTGTCTTCTGGCTGTCACCGCTTCAATCAGAGATCCAGAGTCCTTTGGATCAGAATTCCCTGTTTATAATGTATCATTTTTATCAGGCCGCTCTTAAGATTTTACATTTTTTGCTTTTCATATGATGATGATGTGATGGTGGTAATATGTCTTGTTTGTTTTGTTTTTGGTACCAGGGATCAAACTTGGGACCTTGCACTTTCGAGATAGGTAGCAGAACCACTGAGCTAAACCTCTGGCCTGATGATGATGATGCATCTAGATAAGAGTTTTCGGGCTGGGGATTTAGCTCAGTGGTTCCGCCACCTATTCAATCCCCGGTACCAAAAAAAAAAAAAGAGCTTTTGCTGGGGATTTAACTCATTGGCATTGCGCCAGGTCCTGAGTTCAATCCCTGGTCTCCCCCTCAAAAAAGTTTCTTTGTATTTATCTTTTTAAAATGTTTTGAGAAGAGTTTGGAGCCTACAAGTAGTTGTTTTTGTTTAATTTGTCTAGAACTTATATTTATCTGTAGGAAGGTTTTTTTGTTAGAAGATAACCAGAAACAGATTTTTTTTTTATTTATTATTTTTGGTACTGTGGATTTGACCCAGAGCCTCCTATAAGCTAGGCAAGTGCTTTCCCACTGAGCTATATCCCAGGTTTTTTGAGACAGTTGGGCTCCACTGCCCTGGCTGGTTGCTCCAGTGGCAGGGCTCATAGGTGTGCCTACAGCACCTAACTCAAAACAGAACTTCTGGCTCTTCCTTTTTTTTTTGGTAGCAGGGATCAAACACAGGACCTTACACATGTGAGGCAGGAGGCAGCACCACTGAGCTAAATCCCCAGCCCAACTCTTCCTTTCTAATAGAAACAAGCCTGTTATTTTGGAGGACTGAGTGTGGGAAATCCACCCCCACCAACTAGGTTAGATCCTAATAGGCAGAGAATCAGGGATAGTTCCAGGTAAGGCGATTTTGTCTAAAAAATTCAGTGGGCTTCTAGGAAGGAAACACTGATGTCATCTGTATGGCTTTCTTCTTGGGAATCAGGGTTCTAAGAGTTTCCAGTAAATAGGAGGGTGAGAGGCCTGGAGGACCAGGCAGTGAGGCCCTCAGCCCCACCATGAGCACTTCCTGGGGATGGTGCTGCAAGCCTGTAATCTCAGCACTTGGCAGGCTGAGGCAGGAGGACTGCAAGTCTGAGGCCATTTGGGGCTACAAAGTAAGACCTGTCTAAAAACATCAACAAAAAAATCAGAGCCTATTAACTACTACCACTTCTTGCAAACAGCAACTTCTAGTCAGCTTATCTCAAACTTGGAACTGATACCCCTGCTCTGCCTCTGAATGTTTCCATCCTGCAATGGTTTTGCTTTTGGAAAAAGAAGACTTTCATTCTTCATGTCTTTTTTTTTGTCTTGTTTTCCATTAGAAAACACTACTGTGAGGGCTGGGGATTTATCTCAGTGGTTCCACCACCTGCCTTGAATTTGATCCACCTGAGTTTGATCGGTAGTACCAAAAAAAAAAAAAAAAAAAAAAAAAAAAAAAAAAAAAAAAAAAAAAAAAAAAAAAAAAAAGAAAAGAAAATACTACTGTGTATCTTTGTAAAAACTTGCAGTTTGGAAGCAGATACATATGAATCAACTATCCAAACAACAAACTGTAAATAAAGCTCTCAGCTACCCAGGAGACCGAGGCAGGAAGATCTCAAGTTTGGGGCCAGCCTGGGCAACTTGCAAGATCCTATTTCAAATTTTAAAGTTGAATACATAAGCCCCGAATGACGCTGGGTCCCTCTGAGCTTTCATTAAAAGAAATTTGCTTTAAAAAAATACATAAGAAGGACTGGGAAGGTGGCTTAGTGATAAAACACTCCCAGGTTTGATCCCCAGTACTGAAAACAAAACAAAAAAAACCCTCTGTCACTGTATATTAAGGTACCAGCCTGGTCTTTTTTGGCAACTACTCTTAGTATTGTACTCTGGTCCCAGCCCCCAGCCCACAGTCTTCTGAAAAGCAGCAACACCTAGGGCATGTTTGTTTGCTTTGCCACCCTGAAACTGGGCCCTGGGGAAGTCTGTGAGCACAGACGACAGCTCAACATCACTCAGCAGCAGACTTACGGCTCAAATACAGCTGTGGAGCTGGGCTCTAGCTCAGGGCACAGCGCTGGCCTCGCAGGTGCAACACACTGGACTGCGTCCCCAGCAGCACGCACACGCACATGCGCATGTGCACGCACACACACACACACACACACACACACACACACACACACACACACACAGCGACGGTGGGATCCGGTGCACAGCGCTAACAAGGAAGACATAAGTGTGGAGGGGCCAGGCACAGTGGTGATCCCAGAAGGCTGAGGCCCGAGGACTGCTGCGAGTTTGAGGCCAGCCAGGACTAAATTGGAAGTTGAAGGTCAGCCTGAACTACAAAGTGAGACTCTTTCTCAAAAAAAAAAAAGTTATAGTTTGGGCCTGAAATATCCCCCGAGACAGGTATGGAGGCGCAAGCCTGTACCTGAGAGGCGAAGGCAGGGGGATCACGAATTTGAGCCCAGCCTGGGCAACTTAATGAGACCCTGTTTCAAAGTCAAAAGGGCTGGGGACCCAGCTCGGAGGTAGAATGCTCCGGGGCTCAACCCTCAGCGCCACAAAATAAAGTAAAATATCCTTGAAGCTCTTGGGGCTCTAACAGGGTCTGAGGGGCGGGGCTGGCTCAGGGAGTGGCCGTGGGCTGTGACCCCCGGGAGTGGCCCTTGTCCAGGGCTTTTCCCCGGCTCGTCTCCCCTCACTGCTCCCTGCTCCCGGGAAACAGCTTTTCCTCTTCACACGCTTCCTCCATGTTCTGCCTTGGACTCAACTGACCGATGGGCTGAAATCTGAAACCGAGACAGAAAGAAACCTTTTCTCTTTCAAGTTATTTATCTCAGGCATTTTGTCCCAGCAATGGGAAGTTAGCGTATTTACGAATGAGAACTGTGTCCCCAAAGAATAAACTCACCCCACATCAAGGCCTAAGCACACAGTGTGTCACCGAGCCAGCCCAGCCTTGGGACGTAGTACTATCGGATCCATTTAACACCACTGGGACCCACTGAGGTCCAGACTCACTTGCCCAAGGTCACAGCCAAGTGGCAGAGCCTGGGTTACAGCTGGCAATCTGGAACAACTCCCTCTCCAGAAAGCACTTCCTAACATCCCCAAGTTTAGCATGAGGCCAGCTTTTCGTTATTTTTGAGACAGGGTCTCACTATGTAGTTCAATTTGGCTTTGAACTATGTAGCTAAGATTGGCTTTGAACTCAAGGTGATCCTCCTGCCTCAGCCTCCCAAGTGCTGGGATTACAGGCCTATTATAGCGAGCCCAGCAGCTGCTTTTTGTATTCTGCATCACACGGACAGGCTACAAGAGGCAGTGAAGAGGAATCTTACTTCTTGGTTGTATATTGCTTAACTATTTTACAGACCTAAAAACCAAATCCTCCGGCCCTTCCATACCCATCTGAAGGTCCTACCTCAGCACCTGGGCCTAAGGTGCCCGCCAGGTACCACGGCCGTGCACAGCAGCTCCGGCTCCTGGCTTGTCGTTGGCCCTTGGGGCAGCCAGTACTTAGGGGGAGGCCGTCTCTTTGTGACCAACCCCCACCGTGGGTTCTTAGAGCCTCAGCTACTATTTATTAAGCCTTTAACTTGCCACCTGCAACCTAAGCCTCACTTCCACACCTGTCTCCAGATGCACTTCCGCTTACCTAAACAATGCAGACTGGAAAAGGATGCACTCTGAAAGGAGACTACGGGAGCTACAGCTGTGAGGGGCTGAAAACTTAGGCTGCACTTTAATGTTGTCGTTTTTTTTAAACAGTCTACGTAGTCCCAGCTGGCCTCAAACTCCACCATCCTCCTGCCTCAGGTTTGCAAGTGCTGGGATTATGGTATGGGCCACATGCTCAGCTCTCTAGCGCATTTGTTATTTCTTGGTAGCAGGGATCCAACTTGGGTCCTTGTGCTTGAGGCAGGTGGTGGAACCAGAGATAAATCCCCGGCTCTCTCTAGCACATTTTGAGGGTTCAGAGGCCTCGATACAATAAGCACTTAGCAGGATTTTACTCCACCACCTGCCGATGAAAGTGTATGGAATGGGGAACCTGGCAGCCCCAAACAGCCCATCTTGTCCTACACTTGGCAGCCCCGGCACCTGTGGAATGAGCCCCCTTCTGGAGTGGGGGGGCTGCACACCTGGGGGGACGAGAAACCCCAGGGCATTCACTGTGCCAGGCTGGGAACGGAGAACGCACATGTAGGGTTTGAACATGCAATAAGGGATGTCATGAAATTCAAACAAACCAGACTATTTCTTGCCTCGGACCGGCGGCTTCAAGCACCCCCGCCCCTCCAATTCCTCAGGGGTCATTTCTGGGTGACTCGGTCCCAGTCACTAGTAGAGGGCGGCAAGTTTGAAGAGGCGGCTGTGATCCTGCCATCAGGTCCAGGCCAACCTGCTCCCCCTTGTGACCGAGGCTGCACAGTGCAAAGTCCACGGAGTAATTCGCTCAAAATTTCAAAGACCTTGAAATTCAAGTGGCGTAAAACTGCTGGCCATGGTGACACAGCAGTAAAGTGGCCCGTGGGGGACCTCCAGGGCGCTGGCTACAGTGGCGGGGGTGGGGAGTGGCAGGGAGGGGCCGGCCTCACACCAACTGGGCGTCTGCACCACTGGCGCAGGGCCGGGCTCCCCCACATCCCACAGCAGCATCAAGTCCCGTGGGGGACCTCCAGGGCGCTGGCTACAGTGGCGGGGGTGGGGAGTGGCAGGGAGGGGCCGGCCTCACACCAACTGGGCGTCTGCACCACTGGCGCAGGGCCGGGCTCCCCCACATCCCACATCAGCATCAGGACCGTCACTGCGGCCAAAACCAGAGCCAAAACCAGCCCAGTCAGCCGAGGCAGGCAGCAGCAGACGGGTGCACGCTCCAGAGCTCGTCCGGCTCCCGCCGCAGTGTGCGTGCACCGAGTGACATTTCTGCAGTTGCAATGGGCAGCCGGCAGAATCACAAGCTGCCTGAAGCGTTGAATGTGGAAGAAAAACACACAAAGCCTAAAGCAAATAACTTTATTATCATTCCTTATTAAAGAACCATGTAGAAAATATGCAAAACACCAAGAGCTGGGATCGGGGGTGACTGAAGGGCTGCCACAGCGCAGAGCTGCCTGGCTTCTACGGGGTCTCTGCGCAGCGGGACCCAGGAACCCGCCTTTCTAAAGGAGCAGAACTCGGCAACGCTGCCGCCCTTCCGAAATCCAGGCTGGAACTTGACTAATCCTAAACTCAAACCCAAGAGCTGCACCCAATGCCACCTGTTGTTTTCCAGGATGTCACATTCTGGAGGAAGGACATTCCGCCTGGCGTGCTTTCCTGCTAAGGGCACCTGTCTAAGTGAGGACTAGGGGTTCCACCGGAGTGTCGCCCAGCTCAGGCCGCACTCCCCGCCTGAAGTCACACTCATCTCTCCGTGACATCAGGTGGGAGGAAGTCCAAGAAGGCGACAAGAGGCTCCCAGCTGTCCCGCTGGGGCTGGGAAGTCAATGGCACCAGGACAGAGAGAGATGTCGGAAGGGAGCGCCCAGGAGGCCACACTGGGCGGGTGGCAGGCCTGGGGCTCCTGGGGCTCTGCGCTGGGCTGGCGCCTCACTCTACCCTGTCAGGAGGAGACACCTAGGGACGGGATGGGCAGGACAGGTGGGCACGCCGCGGGCAGCATCCTGGGGAGCACCGAGTCCCCGCTCACTTGGGGCCCAGGCACTCCACGGTCCCGTTCCCCTTCATGCCGTCAAAGAAGAAGAAGTTGTTGTGAGGAGGGTCCCGCTGTGACAGCGCCTAGGGAGAAAAACAAAAAGGGAGTTCAGCTCCAAAGGGGTAAATAGCGAATACACAAACCAAAACACCCCTATCTTCTAAAAGCCTAGGGAAAAAGTGAAACTAAAAGTGGTCCTCAGATGGCAATGGTTCTCAAATGGGATAGAATTTGCTCTATAGGGCTATATGGGACGATCAAAAGAAAAAACAAATGTTTTTTTGGGGGGGGTTCTGGGAATCGAACTCAGGTTCTTGCGGCTGAGAGGCAGGTGGCAGAACCACTGAGCTACATCCCTGGCCCAATTTTTGTTACTTTTGGAGGCAGGGTCTTAGTATGTAAGTCTAGGCCTCACCCAAGTTCTGTGATTATAGGCACATGCTATAGTGCCCAGCTCCATGCCTGTGTTTTAAAATTTTTATTCAGAGACACTGTTCTGCTAAGTTGTTTAAATTGCCTCCAAAGTCCAATGCTCCCGCCTCAGCCTCCAGAGAAGCTTGGATTACAGGTGTGTGCCACCATATCTGGCCTAGGAGACAATTTTGATGGTCATGTCTCTTTGCTATTACCTACCAGATGTGTGTTTGGGCAGATCTCTGTTTTTGTTTTTTTTGAGACACGGTTTCATTATGTAGTTCAGGCTGGCCTTGAAATCACAGCGATCCTCCTGCCTCAGCCTCCCGAGTGCTGGGATGACAAGTGTGCGCCACCACATCCAGCCATTTAACCTCTCTGAACCTTACTTTTTCCATGTCCAGTGAGAATACGTATACTGCACAGAGGATTAAAACATGATACTCCATAAATATCCAAAACAACAGGCAGCACAGAGTAGCACCATAGGGCAAAGAGCAGAGAAAATTTCTTAGGACTGTGCCACCAAGAAAGGCAGCTCATCTTATGCTGCAGCCTTCACCAGTGGAGGGGACACATTAACTGAGGGACACACAGAGGCAGAAAGTGGCTCCTTCATGAGGGTACTAACTCTCATGGCCAATCTCTCACAGGACAGCCCGCGGCTGGAATCTAGAGCTGAGTAATGTCCTTCAGCCAGGGAAACCTTGGTTATCTTGGAGGGGGCAGGGACGAGCACTTTTAAAGAGGAGGTCAGACCCTTAGAAGTAATGTACGTACACTGTTGAGGAACTGCTCACTGACGTGACGTGTTTCGCTGTTTCTGCGGTATGAGGGACTGAACCCAGGTCCTGCTAGACTGCCCATCCGGGTAGCTCTGGCCACGCTCCTGCCGGAAGCTCCGTGAGTGCTGGGAGGACAGGCCTGCGCCACCGGGCACCCCTCTGGCTTTCCCATGTGAGATGGAAACTGGAGGCTGGGGCAAGCAGCCTTGACCCCAACCTTCGTGGGGGCTTCTTAGTCATGAAAATGCACACATTTTTTTAAGGAACAGGTTCGTAGGTAATGGCAAGGCTGTAAAGAGGTAGTCAACCCCCAAAAGGCTGACGCTTCATCATGAGCCGCCATTTAGAAAGGAGGACATCACCTACACAGCTCCTAACAGAATTTAAAGGTTCCCAGGAGCACTGGTGTTCTCATCCTCTTCAAGAAGGAACCTCCATCCCCAATCCCATTCTGTTTCCTCATCTGCAAAGGGACAATTATGTGTACCTCAGGCACATGTCCTGAGTATTCAGACAAGCAAAAGGCATCCACTCTGTGCCAGATTGTGCATTAAACATTATGGATGCTGAGAAGGTCCCTCTCCTCAGAAGGAGCCTGGATCGGGAAGAAGCTGGCAGCCAGGTGGGGTGGCCATGCCTGCAATCCCAGCACTCAGAAGGAAGAGGCAGTAGGAGGATCGCCATGAGTCCGAGGCCACCCTGAAATGCATGACTGCCCAGCGAGACCTGTCTCCGAAACAAACAAAAAGGAAGAAAGCGGTGTGCCTATACAATGCAAAAATAAATAGCACCTGTCTGTTTGCCTGCTAAAAATTCTGCTGAAGATAAAGTGTGAACAGACTTGAATGTGCCTGGCACATCCTCAATCCTCAATAGCTAGGAGTTTGTGAGACAGATAGCAGCACCACTGAGCTACATCCCCAGCCCGCAGCTTGCTGGGGATTAATGGGACCAGGGGTGCACTACTGATATATCCGAGGGACGCCACACACTCAGGCAGGTGCAATGACCCAGCAAACCACAGCTGGAAGTTCTAGGACCCAAGTTATAAACATTGTTATTATTACATTAACAAATGGGTCTCTCAAGGGACCCTCCTGCCGTAGCTGACCAAGCTGTTGGTTGGGACCATAGTTGAGTGATACTGTACCCAGTCTGATCCATTTTCTAATGCGGGGCTGGGCAGGGACCACCACGGACCCAGAGACAGAAGGAAAGCAAGGGCGGTTTGTGCTCTGGGAGTGCGACACGACAGTGGTAGACAGAATAAAGGAAGGAAAGAAGGAAACAAGAGATGATCCCAAGGGAACAGACTGTCCATTTGTCCTCCGGCTCCTATGTTTCCTTTTTATAGGTGGTCAGAGGAGGCCCTCGGTGCAGGGCCCTCTTGCCAGCTGGTTGAAGGCTGGGTCAGTGACAAGGGGAGCGGCAGGATGAGAGCAGGGCACAGGGTGAACATGGGCAAAGCGTAAAGTGCTCCCCAGCAAGACGGGGTCAGAAGAGATTCCAAACACACCCAGCAACCAAGAATGCAGAGTGCGCTGCTTTCTGGGATAAACAGAAACAAGATGCTGGGCAACAGCTGTCCCCAGTGGGCAGGAAGGAGGGAGCAGCATTAGGAGTGGGATGCAGAGAAGCCACTGCAGACGCTGGGGTCAAGGGCCCCTGCCCCGCCACCCACCTCCAACCCACAGGGGAAGCTGGCGCAGGCTGTGCCGGGCGAGCCGAGGCGTGGGACAGCAGCCCTGGGCCCTGGCTGAGTGTGAGGATGCAGGGCCACTGAGGCCTGACTGCAGGGAGGGAGGAACACAGGCTCAGGAACCAGACCTGCAGGGCACAACTGCTGGCTCTGCCATGTTTTCTGCAGCACTAAACATCAAAAGCAGGGCCTTGTGCACGCAAGGCACAGGGTCTACACCGAGCCGCTCTCCACACTCACTGCTTCTCGTTTGCTTTTTTTCCACACAGCATCTGCGTTTCCCAGGCTGGCCTCAAATTAGTGATCCTTCTGCCTCAGCCTCCAGAGTAGCTGGGATTACAGGTGCGTGCCGCCACTTTCAGCTATTCCATTTCTTTACTCAGCACGCGCCCCCGCCACAGTCTCACTACACAGCTCAGACTGCCCTTGCCTCAGCCTCCCGAGGCCTGGGATCACAAGTATGCACCACCACGCCTGGACCACTATTTTGTCTTGAGCAAGAACTCCACTTTTCTGTACTTCAGTTCTTCCTCGGGAAATCAGGGATCACAACAGCTCGTACCTCACAGGTTTGCTGTGAGATACGAGTTTACACTAACTTTGAGTGGCTCATGGTAGGTTTGCAGTAATTATTTACTGTTCTGTTTTTTCCCCTGGCACCAAGGATCAAACTCAGGACCTTGTGCTTGCAAGGCAGGCACGATGCCACTGTGCTCTGTCCCTGGCTCTTAATTATTTACTGTTATTGGCAACAGTGTCATCGTTATAGGCTACAAAAACTTCTGCTCCCCCAGCACGGTTTTCTGCCCCCAACCTCTTTCTTTCCTGCTGAGTCCGTCCACAGACAGCCTCAGCCTCTTCTCATGATGGCCCTATGGGCGGGCACTATTCTCCTCTGAGTAAGGCACTCAGTCTGACTTTCACCTGCATGGCCACCGCGCTCCCGGCCTCCTGCCTGGACCTCCCCAGTGCCTCTGACACAGAAGCAGGTTACATTTCAGCAAAAGCAGGGTTTAGCCCAGACACAAGATCAGGAAAAGAGCGAAAAAAGGAGTCAAAAGGAAGGTGGAGAAAATGTCAAATTGAGTCCAGTGTCTCAACGTCTTAGACAAAGTGATGAGAACTGATCTCCAACCAAACTGTCCTCCTGAGATTGAACCAGACATATCTGTGTCCTGGGGAAACCACTGCACCAGGCAGGACTGTGCCCATGAAAGGACCGGAGAAGCCATCACTGCAAGTCCACCAAGGCAGTTGACAATCTACAAGGGCAATTTAAAAACTGGTTCTGGGGTCTGAACGCAGGTGCCTGCGCATGTTTTACCACTGAGATATATGCTTAGCCCTCCAAAGACAAATGTAACATCGCTGGGCAAATATCAAGGTCTCCAAAGAAAATAAAATCTATTTCGGGGTACGCTACAGTGTTAGCAAGCCAAACATCTCAGAGGACACTCAGAGAGCTGTACTAGTTAGTTGCTGGTTGTGTGACCCTGCAGGGATCCCCTGGCCTACTTCACAGGGTCCTGGTTGCCATGAGCTCCCAGAAACATGTGCTCCATACAGATGACCCTCTTCTACAGATGCCTATGGCGGACGGGTTAAACAGACCAGGGCTTTGACATCATGGTGATGGACGGGCCTTAGGAGCACAGGTTTTGGAATCCATTTTGGGGGCCTCAGTGTCTTCCTCTTAAATGGGGACGGAGGGAGCATCCACTCTCACCTCACAGAGCTGTAGGCAGCACAGAAACTGGCAACCATGTTTAGCACTAAGAAACGAACAGGTCTAGGGCAGACAGCACTTCACAGGCCCTGACTAGCTGTGGGATGGGATGGGATGGAGAGGAAAAGATAGGGCACAGAGCAAGGCTGAGGCAGGGTCAGAGCCTGGGAGCTCCCAGACAATCTGCACTCTCTCTGGCACACATACACGCCTGTGTGCACGCACGCGAATGAACTACCTTCTTTACCTTAACAATTTCTTGTGCCAAGATCCCTCCAACCACCGCACACACCGGGGCCATCTCAGAGAAGCAGTACCTAAAAGAGAGGATGAGAGAGATGTGACACCGGGGACTGGGCTCCAGACGACATCGGCAAAGGTTCGGGTGGGGTCTCGGGGGTGGGACCGTTCCACTAGGACAGCAACGCCAAAGCTCGGATCTAGGAATGAACATTAAATCCCACCGAGGGGGTCCCTAAGTGGTTAGGAAAGATCTTTGAACTTTGGCAAGAAGGAATTCTTTCACCACAGTTTTCCTGTTAAAGTCAATGGAACGATGTATCTGTACTTCCTAGAAATAAGGTTCCACAAATATCAGATGTTTCACTGCCCCGGCCACATTCTCCCAATTCTACTCTCACCATGAGGTGCTGGCTGATGTGCGTTTTCCAGACGAGTGTCGGGGGCAGGCCTGTGTTAACACACAGGAGCGTGGGGAGTTGGGAGCCTGGCATTAAAGCACAGGGGCAAAACAGAAACCGGTCCCTCTGGGCAAGGATGAAGCACCCAGAGGACAAATTTTAGCTGGTGCTGTCACCTGGTCCTCAAAACTGGTCATCCTGGAGACCAAAATACTGAACACCTCAACGACAGAAGAGGTGTGTTCTGTTAATTCTTACACAGAATTGTTTTTACCCCTTCTCCCCGGTTTTTAACTCAGCATCTGTGCACTGAGCTGCATTCCAAGCTCTTTTTTCCCCCTAGACAAGGCAGGCCTTCCTCTTTATCCCAGGCTGGCCTCAAACTTGTGGCAATTCTCCTGCCTCAGCCTCTCGAGTGTTAGGATTATAGGCATGCACCACCATGCCCTACTTTAAAATTTTGAGACTAGGTCCTAAGTTGGCCACACTGGGCTTGAACTTGTGATTCTCCTGCCTCAGCCTCCAAAATTCTGTGATTATAGGCTTGTGCCACTATGTCCAACCTTTCTAGACATTTTAACAAGTGCACATAAGTAAACATATATTATTGGGCCAGTGATTTAGCTCAGTGGTGTTGTCCCCTGCCTCCTAAGTGCAAAGAGCCGAGTTCGGTCCCCAGTACCCCCCCCCCGGGGGGGAATATATATATATATAATTTGTTCATTTATTTTTCTGGTACTACTGGGAATTGAACTCAAGACTTTGTGCTTGCCAAGCAGGTGCGACACTACAGAGCTACATCCCTTGCCAACATATATAATTTTAAATCTAAGTAATATCAAATACTATTGTGCGGCCTGTTAACTCAGAGCGTGGTGCTAATATCAACTACTACTTCTTCTATTGTACAATATACTGAAGGGCGCACATGCCATTTGACATAGCAATCAGCCACGGTGGTACAGTTAACCCAACTATTCCGTGAGAACTGGGTGTGGAGGTGCATGCGTGTGATCCCAGCACTTTGGGTGCTGAGGCAGGAGGATCACCACAAGAAGTTCAAGGCCAGTCTGGACTACACAGGGAGACCTTCCCTCTCTGAAACAAACAACAGCAAAACTATTCCATAAGGCAAATTCCCAAATACACATGCAAATGCTAGGCCTTGTTATGTATACCCTGCCAAATGCCATCTACAATCCATCCCATCTCCTAAAAGCAGTGTCTGAGGGTGTCCTCTCCTCACGCTCTGGCTGGCAAAGCATCCTCCCATTCTGTTAAGCTCAGAGGAGGCCTTTCCTCTTACCAAGGTCCACCACAGGACTCTATGACATGTAACAGGGAAAACTATAGCCCAGAAAAGCCCAGCATCCACAAGTTCAGTGTTCAAAGATGATCAAATGTGGCAATAGTCTCTGTCACACAAACACACACTGCCAGGGGCGATGATGCAAGCCTGTAACCCCAGAACTTCAGAGGCTGAGGCATAAAGTTCAAGGCCAACTTGGGCTCCATAGTAAGTTCAAAGCCAGCCTGGACTTCACAGTGAGAACTTGTCTCAAAAATAAACAAAGAATTCAATCCCCGGTACAAAAAAAAAAAAAAAAAAAAGGATATGTTTTTTCTATAAAATGGAGTATTACTCAGCCATAAAGAATGAGAAACTAGAGTCACTCATAGGAAAATGGATGCATATTGAGGCCATACTCTAAGTGAAATAAATAGGACACACATGGGTAAATACCGAATAGTTTTGAAAAACTAAAAGTGTAAATAAGATCCAAATTGCATAACTGACAGTGTGAAATAGGAAGAAAAGGGCTAAAGGTGTAGGGGAAGAGGGAAGGGTAGGAGAAAGGAAATAAGGTAAAAGAAAAGATATGAGACAAGGAAAAAATGGAAACAAAGTCTTTGTAAATAGGGGAGGGTGGAGCAGATGAAGGGAGGGCAGGGACAAGGGGAAAAAATGAGAACCAACACCTGTCATGTAAAGGTACAAGATCCCAGATGAATGTAACTAAAATGTACCAATAAACTCAATGAACAAACAAAACAAACAAACAGGGGGGCTGGGGATTTAGCTGAGTGGCAGCACACCTGCCTCCCAAGCACAACGTCTGCATTCCATCCCTAGTATAGGAAAAAAAAAAAGAAACACAAACTACATTAAAGGCCATAAGGTTTCATTAACTGTGATAATTATGGGGCTGGGGATTGAGCTCAGTGTTGCTGTCGCTTGCCTCACAAGTGCAAGGATCTAGAGTTCGGTCCCCAGTACCAAATATATATATAGCTGCGGCACTGCACCTGCCTCGCAAGCTCAAGGTCCTGAGTTCAATCCCTGGTATAGAAAGAAATAAAACAAACAAACAAACAAACAAAAACAAAACAAACTATGTGTTTTTTATTTTTTGGTACCGGGGATCAAACTTGGGACCTTGTGCTTGTGAGGCAGGCAGTGGAACCACTGGGCTAAATTCCCAGTCCTTATCATGATTTCAAAGTGGCTAGTGAGGCTGGACAAATACCACTACTATTAACTAAAACAACAGGAAGTCAGATGTGGTGGCAATGACTGCAATCCCAGCTCTTCTGGAGGCTGCAGCTGGAGGATCTAAGCTGGCGTCCAGGCGAGGCAATTTAGTGAGAACCTATCTAAAACTAAGCAAAAAGGACTGAAGAACTAGCTCAGTGGACTCTCAGTTCAGTGCAGCACGCGCATGCGTATGTGTGTGACTGTAGGGTTCAAGACCAGTATATGAAAACCAACTGTGGTTTGATACCACCAGCAATGAGTGTTCTGAAAATGACCTCGAGTCCCTGCCCTCAACCGATTCAGTTGTTAGACATGGTCTTGGTACATCTTCCAAGCTCCCCTGAACTTGTTACACAGTTCAGCCAGACTTGAACTTGGCAATTCTCCTGGGCAGGCTCCCAAGTACTGAGATTATACTCTACTGATTTATTTTATTTTGAGACAGGGTTGGGTCGGGGATTTGGCTCAGTGGTGCCGCCGCCTGCCTCGCAAGCACAAGGACCCAAGTTTGATCCCCGGTACAAAAAGAAGGAGACAGGGTCTCACTGTGTAGCAGGCTGTCCTGGAACTCAAGATGATGTGTCTGCTTCAGTCTTCCAAGTGCTGCAATGACAGGTGTGTGCCACCATGTCCACTCTCACCTATTTGTTGTTGTTCTTGGTACCAGTGATTCAACTCAGGACCTTGCGCTTGCAAGGTAGATGCAGTGCCGAGCCAAATCCCTGGCCCTCAACTGATTATTGACTAGGGTGCTAAGATCATTCCGTAGCGAAAGGGATCTTTTCAACAACTAGTGCCAAGATCCCCATGTATGAGGAGACATAATTAAATTGGGCTTAGAGGTAGAGCACTTGCCTGTCATGTGAGGCCATGGGTACAGCACACATACAAGAATTACATTGACCCTGTATCTCACTATCATGTAAAAACACCAATCAAGCTGCCTACCTGCCACCTGCCTTATAACCACCCCATGATTTTGTCAAGAGGAGTACACAGCAGCCCCATTTTCCAGGTCTCCCTCATCTCTCTTAGACAGAAAGTATCTTTCCCTTAATAAGTATTTTTCACTTTTTAAAAAACAAAAAAGAGGGCTGGGGATTTGGCTCAGAGGTTCTGCCGCCTGCCTTGCAAGCACAAGGTCCCAAGTTTGATCCCTGGTAACACACACACACACACACACACACACACACACACACACACACACACACACACACACACAAAGACTTCACAGGAGAAGGGTCTCAAGTTCAAGTCCAGCATGGGCAATTTAGTAAGGCCCCTCTCAAAGGGTGGGAGGGAGGCATGGTTGGTGCTAGACATGCTAACTCAATCCAATGCTCCTTGGGTCCAAACCTTAATACCACAAAAAGACCCAAAGGAGAGTCAGGTGGGGTGGCGGTCATCTGTAATCCTAGCACTTGCAAAGCTGAGGCAAGAGAATATTCTAGGCCAGCTTGGGCTATGTAGTCAGTTCAAAGTCAACCTAAATTAGAAAATGAGACTGATCCTATTTTTTTTTTTTAAAAATTAAAAAGGCACAGCTGCTGGGAGTGACTCATGCATGTAATCCCATCACTCAGGAGGCTGAGGCAGGAGGATTGTGGTGAGTTCCAGCTAGCCTGGGCTACACAGTGAGTTTGAAGCCAGAAAAAACAACGAAACAGCTGAGCATGGTAGCGCATGCCTTTAATCCAGCACTCGGGAGGCTGAGGCAGGAGGATCACTGAGTGTGAGACCAGCCTGGGCTACACAGTGAGTTCCAGTCAGTCTCAACTACATAGTGAGACCCTGTCTCAAAAGAGCCAACAAAACAAAACAAAACAAAGCCAAAAATAAACAGAAATGGTGTGAATGTTTAGAATGCTTTTGGTCATAATGATCCCAAACAATTCATCTGTTCATCTAATAAACAGACAAAGACCAATATACAATGGAGTATTACTCAGCAACAATAAGGAATGAGCTACTGGTTTATAACATAACACGAATGCATTTGAAATGCACTAAGCTAAACTCAAGACCCCAGGCTCAACTATGATCCCATTAATTTATATCACATTAAGAAAAAGGCAGAACTAGAGGGAACAAGATAGTACACCAGTGGTTTCAGGGTGGCATAGAGCACTCAAGGAAGTTT